TGTAGTTTCAGAGTGTTTTTTCTTAATCTTTGAAATATTTCTTCCAGTCGTAGATTATGTTCCTTCAGACTTACTGCGTGAATGACTATGTCATCTAGATATACAAAACATCGGAGTCCTTGTATTCCTGCAAGAGCGGAATTCATCAGCCTTTGAAATGTTGCAGGTGCGGTTTTTAGTCCGAAAGGCATGCGATTGTATTCGTAGTGACCGTGGGAAGTGGAAAATGCAGTTTTACATTTATCATCTTCTTTCATTGGGATCTGGTGAAATCCGGATGCCAGATCTAAAGTACTAAAGTATTTGGCATTACCCAACTGGTCTAATATTTCGTTGATATTAGGCAGTGGAAAAGAATCGCCGATGGTTACATCATTCACCTTTCGAAAGTCTACTACGATACGCATTTTTGGTATGCCTGACGCATCACTTTTCTTTGGTACCACTAACAGTGGTGCATTCCATTGACTGGTACTATGTCGGATTATTCCACCATTCAGCATTTGCTGTACTTGTTTATTTATTTCCGTCTTTTGACTTTCTGGTATCCTATAAGGTCTGATATTAATGGGTGCTGTCCCTGGGCTGATCTGAATTTCATGCGTTGTTGCATTAGTGCATCCCAACTGGTCGCCCTCTAGATAGAAAACGTCGTGATATTTTTCGCATACTTCGATCAATTTTTCCTTTTCTTCTTCATTTACGTGCTCTGTCCTTATATTTTCTCGTAATTTAGCCATTCTCCCGGCTAAGGGAATAGGTGTGATTTTAAACATTGATGTTCCCTTCTGGTAATCGTCTCTACGGACTCATGTTGCAATTCTTGAATTGTCACGATAAGAGTGTCAAGTTTTACCACTTGCTCGGTCGTATTTAAGACGCTGACCAAACATTCTTCAGATTCTGGTTGAGTAATACAACCACCTAATATTATGCCAGGTATTAATTCAGTTCTGTCAATAATTCCTTCTTTTTTATCTTTCGTTATAGCTTTTATTATTGTTTCTGATCTCGGCCTTAGCGAGATTTTCTTGATGGAGTTTTCTAACTTCCAGGTTATTCCGTATAACTGGAGGCATTTGCCTGCTCGGATAATTACTTGATGCTTCACGAGTAAGTCGTTTCCCAATATTCCATCAGTTGCTATGGGAAAATCATTTCTTACCACACGCATGAGGTGCGTAATGCAGGCGTCTCCTATGCGTATGGTTAGCAATATCTTGCATAATGTAGTTACTTCGGTATTTCTAATTCCCTTTAAGGTTAATACTTTATCTTGGGCTAGTGCATGTTTGTGCAGCTTCCCTATTTTAATTGGACTGACTTCTGCTCCAGAGTCGACTAACATCATGGATTTTGAGTCGGCTACTTCTACTGCTTCTATTGATTTGGACGAGGTTTATTCCTCCCATGTTTTCTTTGATATGGTTTACGCCGTATGCTTCTATTATTTTTGATTCGTTTTCTGAATTTTTATTGTTCACGTTCCTATTTTCTTTTGCTGAGTTTCTTCCTCGCGTGAAGAATTCTTTTCTTCCGGGTCTAGAGTTTCCTGGACGTAAATGCTTATTCTTAGTCCAACATTCTTGTTCTTTATGTCCCAATTTGTGACAGAAGTTACATTTTATTTGTAGTTTGTTTATCTCCCTAGAAATGTTAGGAGTGGGTAGGCTTCTTCGCGGTGCTACTGTCTTAGAGTAGCAGTCTCTAGAAAAATGTCCTATTCGATTGCATTTGCTGCAAGTAGGGGGCATAGTCCTCCTTGTGTTTTCCTGTCCGGAATAACGTTTAGCTATAATGGAGTCACGAGTCCCACTACTTTTTTCTTCTTCTATTGCTCTAGTAATGGCCGCCTGGAGTGTTTCATAATGATTCGCTTTGACTATCATTCGAATTCTATCGTGTAGTCCCTGTTCAAATATACCTAGGGCTTGATTTCTTAATAATCTTTCAATAACTTGATTTTCCATGTGGCAATTTCTTGAAAATGTTGAAGCCTTTATTAATTCTGTAAGAAAATTTTCTACCCTTTGCCCATATTTTTTTACATCTTCATGGGGTTTTGTTTACTGGCGTTAAACTCTAGTTGCAATGAGTTTGCTGATCTTGATTGGCCACACAATGACTCTAATTCGTTTTTTAATTTTTCAAAAGAGAGAATACTTTTGTGTCTTAGTGCTTCATTTGCCTTATTTTCTAATTTACTCTTTACTATTGCTAAGACTATGTTATCATGATCTGCAGGATTGCTCTGCTCAAGTACATACGTACATACATCCAAAAATTCTGGCAATGTTTCGGGTTTTTCCCTGTTAAATACTTTAAGTGTCCCTCTGGCTTCTTTTAATGTCATATAGGTAGTTGGAGTTCTTCTCCTATTAGGCCTCTTTGGTGCAGGAAAACGGGCTTGTAGATCTGCGACTTGTTCTCGCAATTTTGATATTTCTTGATCTATTGCGGAATCGTATATTACGAATGATTCGGTAGGCGTTCTGTGGGATTCCCTTGTGGGTGACGCTTGTTCCTGCTCTGGTTGAGCCATATTGTCAAGTAGAGAGTAATTTGTTGACTCGTGTGCCCACTGTCTATTTAGGTTGACGTTGTCGTTTCCTGACGGACTTTATAGATGGAAGGTGAGGATGAGGACGTTTCACGGGTGATCGAATAAGTTGAACACAACACTTTATTTAAGTGAATGAATAACTTTAATGCAGAACACTGCGCAACTCTTTTACAACTAAATGAATTATAAAAGTCAACTCTGAATTCTTTGATTAACTATTTCTCTGTATTTAATTGAAAAGTAAAACGTTAAGATAAATAAATGTAATTTATAGTAAGTAAGTTACAATTTATAATTATACAATTTATACTAAGTTCATTTTTCTTAGAAACATAAAAATATATGGAAATTTGACAAGATAAAGGTAAGTAGAAAAACTGAACCGTTCTCGAGAGGAGCGTGTTAGCGAATGACGAGCCGCCAGTAAGGTGGCAAGAGACAAGAGAGGAAGAGAGAGATAGATCTCTCTGCTATGTGGCGTAGATGGTAGCTTCTGTTTAGTGGCGCCCTCGCCACGAGACGCGGAGCTTGCTGTGACTACAGCCGACACTCCCTCCCTCCGTGTCTCTCTAATGCTCGTCCTCGGAGCAAGAGCTTTTATGGGAGCCTGTAAGCAGAGAAAACATTATATTCATATGTGCATTATTTAATGGTCTCTGAATTAATTATTTTATCTCTTAAGTAATTATGTGCTTGCGCAGCTAAGGGTTTCGTTAGTAAGTCAGCTAAGTTCTCTTTACTTTCTACCCATTTAATTTTGATTCCCCAAAAAACACTTACGTGTAAAAATCTACGCCAAGTACAGGAGTGCTGTGTATTCCTCTAATAAAAAGTATTGATATCAGATTATTGAGGCCAAGTACATAAATCACTACATGTTTGCCTATTATATGATCTAGCACTGGCCCATCGTTTTAATTGTATTTTCAAAATTTCTTATAACGTTTTCAATACTCTTTTACATTACTACTGCTTCCCGTAGTTGATCATAAAACTTGCAATGTGAAGAAGTTGTCGATTGCTATTTTGAGGGCGTATGTGTTGAACGCTTTTCTTCGCAGATAAAGCTTCAGTGGTTGGAACAAATAGTAATCTGATGGCTCTCTGTTCGGAGAGTACGGTGCTATCCGAGCTCCGCGATTTTCAGTCGAGTTTCCGAAGCAATGTGAAGGCGAGTGTAAATTGTCCTGGAGGAATTAACCAGTTGTGTGTCCCGGATGTTTTCCTTAAATGTCGTTGGTTTGTTTCTGAAATTAATCAACATATACGGAAGCTGTTACCGTTTTCTTTACAGAAAGTAGCCCGTAGTAGAGCGGATCTATTGCATCTTACTAAACAGAAAGAGAACGCTTGTACGTATAAGGGTCAGCTTCAGCTGCATTGACGGCTCTGCGTCACGAGGAAGCCAGATAGCGTGCCGTATATTATTGTTATAAAGGATCTAGCTTCCAGCATCAGTCACTAAATCCTCGAGAAACTTTTTGCGATGCGGTTAGAAGAGAAGTGATTCGTAGATGTCGACTATGACTTGACGATGAGTATCAGTTAGCCGATGTAGGATCCATCATGCTATCATCTTGAGACAGTCGAGATCGTGAAGATGCGTCATGATGGTGCGACAGCAGCCAAATATCGTTGCTAAATTGCGTATAGTTGTCTTTCGATTAACTTTAATGCTATTGCATGATTTGTTGTCGTTGACAGTGAACGGTTGTCACGACCGTTCGTTGTCTTGGAGACTTGTATCTCCTGAAGCGAACTAATTAAATCAGTGGTTGATCGTCCATCAAAATACGGTGCCTTTGTGGAACGTATTGTGGATATTCGCTGTTGCTGCGACCTCGAGAAAGAGAAGCATAGCGTGTACGCAGTGCGATCTTATATCAGCGACATACTAAAATCGCAATAGCGTGCCTTTTAAAATTCAATACTCCCCCTCGATTTAAGGATGGTTCTTCTTCGAGATCGGGAAGTTAGACCAACCGAGGAGTTTCACACATTTCATGTGTTTTGGCCTGGATAGTCCCTTGGTAAAAATGTTCGCAGCCATCTCATCGGTTGGAGTGTATTCGATTGTTATCTGGGCTCCGTGAAGACGACTATCCCGGCCCTTCTCCAAGGGAAAGAGATTAAATTCGGCAAATCCGAAGCTTGCCGAGTCCTATTATTACCGGTTTGCCGAATTTAGCCGAACCAAAACAAAAATACCCCCCTCCCGCAGTACCTTGCCATCCAGGTCGCACGCCGGGACGATCAGGTGTTCAGCGGGCGGGTAGCGGGGAGCAGGCGATCGGCGGCCTCATCGGCGTAGGATATTAGTCCTCGTGCCTCGCCATCCGATTCGCCTTACCGCCAGCGCAGCCGAGCCTCCTTCCCTCCCGATCACGCGACCTTTGGTATCAGTTAGCCGATGTAGGATCCATCATGCTATCATCTTGAGACAGTCGAGATCGTGAAGATGCGTCATGATGGTGCGACAGCAGCCAAATATCGTTGCTAAATTGCGTATAGTTGTCTTTCGATTAACTTTAATGCTATTGCATGATTTGTTGTCGTTGACAGTGAACGGTTGTCACGACCGTTCGTTGTCTTGGAGACTTGTATCTCCTGAAGCGAACTAATTAAATCAGTGGTTGATCGTCCATCAAAATACGGTGCCTTTGTGGAACGTATTGTGGATATTCGCTGTTGCTGCGACCTCGAGAAAGAGAAGCATGGCGTGTACGCAGTGCGATCTTATATCAGCGACATACTAAAATCGCAATAGCGTGCCTTTTAAAATTCAATACTCCCCCTCGATTTAAGGATGGTTCTTCTTCGAGATCGGGAAGTTAGACAAACCGAGGAGTTTCACACATTTCATGTGTTTTGGCCTGGATAGTCCCTTGGTAAAAATGTTCGCAGCCATCTCATCGGTTGGAGTGTATTCGATTGTTATCTGGGCTCCGTGAAGACGACTATCCCGGCCCTTCTCCGAGGGAAAGAGATTAAATTCGGCAAATCCGAAGCTTGCCGAGTCCTATTATTACCGGTTTGCCGAATTTAGCCGAACCAAAACAAAAATACCCCCCTCCCGCAGTACCTTGCCATCCAGGTCGCACGCCGGGACGATCAGGTGTTCAGCGGGCGGGTAGCGGGGAGCAGGCGATCGGCGGCCTCATCGGCGTAGGATATTAGTCCTCGTGCCTCGCCATCCGATTCGCCTTACCGCCAGCGCAGCCGAGCCTCCTTCCCTCCCGATCACGCGACCTTTGGACGCGGACCCTGGATTTTTATCCCTTAACGGTATCAGCGATAAGAATCATATTTATATTGTTATCCACGATTTCGACTTTTTCCTTGTCGAAGATGACCTTAAAGTTTTAATCGGCGATTTTTTTGTAGGTTTTGCTTTCAGATAGTATTGATCGTGCTTTCTTTGGAATCTTGTAATTTTCCTTGACCAGTTATCCTTCATTCTTTCCTCTTTATTTTCTTCAATTTTCCTTTCGATGATATTTTTACTGTAATTTAAGTAATTGATACATCATTACTTGATATTTTGTTCAGTATTGTTTGATATCTTCTTAGGTTCCCTGAAATAAATATATAATATAATCAATTCAAAATTACATTAAATGAAGAAATAGTTAAGAAAAATGACAACATTTACTTACGTAATGGACGAATACTGAAAGAAAAGCATTTAATGTCTAATCTTTATTATTGTTCAGTATTTATCTTCTGATGTTGGCCGTTTGTATTTGCTGTAAGATATTAATTCATTCTGTGAAACAATTCGACGGGCAGTAAATGAATTATGAAATTATGTAAAATGTTGTAATATAGAGTATACCTCAATTGTTATTGCTTAATTTGAGAAAAGCCTTATTATATGCTGTATGTATGTATATCACAGAACGTAGTTACCAGTGAACGATAACGTTAAGATGTTTATTCTTATAAGGTGTAATTCGTGTATTTGGATTCGTGTGTTGAGTTTCCCAATCGTCGCATTCGTAACTGCCAAAAGACATAATTTACATACATTAGATCTTTTAGATTCTATTATAACAATTTAATACTTTTAAAGAAAAAATGTAATGGGCACTTACCTATTTTTTGAGGCCACGTTGTTTATTTTAGAAACTATAGTGGCGACTGAACGCCAGGCTGCTTATTTTGGCAGTTGTAGTGGCGACTGAACGCTAGGCTGCTCATTTTGGCAGTTGTGGTGGCGACTGAA